ATTTTATAAGTAAACTGATAGTTAATTTTTCATTTCAGCGTAGCGTAATGACAGGTCAAAGTTCAGGTTTTGGAAAACATTTTTGACCAGCCTTTTGGTTATGTTTTGGTATGGATATATATAAAAAAGGGGGTTTAAACCCCTGTGGCTTTGATAGAAGATCTGAAACGACAGTGGAGCTTGATCGGTTTGAGAGTATGGAAGTTTCCAGGGTTGTTGATAAAAGCTGATTTATATCATAATCTAAAAATAAGAATTTGAGAATATCCATTAATTGGTATAATAAGCGTGTTTACATATTCCTCAGCAGTAATAAAGTGTGCTGCTAATCTCTTTATGTACCCTATAATTGAAACCGTTCGTGAATAGCCGTCTCTCATCAACACGAATGTACGTTTATTACAGTAATTCACTAAGAATAAATGCCCGATTTGGCCCCCTGGTGTAGCGTTACGCAATAACAAACACTCCTTACTCTACAGGATTAAAATATAAATTACATGTACAACCCCAGCTTTGGAGGTGGTTACGCAAAACACTCAGAAACAAAAAAATATATATAAGGAGTATATTTTTTCGCGAATGTTCACCATTTGTTGACAAACTTTCAAGACTAACCAAGTTTGCCAATAAAGCATTTTAGTGTTGGGGAAATCCGCAAAGAATGTGTTTTTTTTATACATATTAAACAACTGAAGTATTTTAAAAGGTATAACACATCAACCGAGAATCTATATCATTTGTATAGGGCTGCCAATAAAGCATTTTAGTGTTGGGGAAATCCGCAAAGAATGTGTTTTTTTTATACATATTAAACAACTGAAGTATTTTAAAAGGTATAACACATCAACCGAGAATCTATATCATTTGTATAGGGCTATTCGTTTGATTACGTCGTTAATACTGTTATTGATATGAGACAAAACTTTCTGTTTTAGAATAATTTTGCGACGTTAATTTAACTTTGCCTTATCAAAGTCCCGACTACTTTCCCTCGTATGCCTTCATATTGTATTTTAGGTAGATAACGCTTATCTTCAATAATTAACAACAAGTAGCCACATATAAAACCAAATTACTAATACTGCGGAATTTGTATCACGCAAAAGCATTAATAGGATGCTTGAAAATTGTAAAATATCATTTCTATTTTACCCCCATTCGCCCCCTCCTTTTCTTGCTTGGGTTTAGCCATCTGATGCTGCGTCTACGATTAAACACTGGACGTTACTAGTATCCTTTTGTTTTATAAGACTGAATATAATTATTTTTCGAACAATTAAATGTCTGATTGCTCATCTTTACTGAGACCAGCGAGCTTATTAAAATATTTATAGGAAACAATGGAGCACAGCCGCTTTTACATTCACGCCTGATCGGCCCTGGGACAGCTCGTACCTGATTTTGTCGTGCCGTGAACTGATTATAGTTAATATTTTTATTCCATGGATTCACGTTGTAAATTGTAAAAGGAGGTTCTGGACGGGGCTGACGTAATAATCGGAACCGAGCGAAGTAATTAATACTAAATAATAATAATTTGTTCAGCATAATGAGCCAGAGACTGAAGGTTTATTCTGACAAATAGTAAAACTTTCAAGCATGTAGACGTTATCGGTGAAGGCGGTCGTCATGGCAACAAATAACAAATGGATACATATTAGGTGCCCTTTGAAGGTGAAATTGCCCGTTCTTCTCATAAAATCAATTGACGTGTGATGTATGTAGTCTGTTTCATTAAAGACAGAGACGGTGTATTGACAATTAGTAAAGCAATTATTTCTTCTTTGTTTTATATTAGTGAAAATAGTGACGTTCGTTTTAACTTTTATTTTGGAAATCCATCGATTGAGTTCACGACAGGAGAACAAAGACAGAATATACTGCGGAAAGAAGTTTGGAAATGATTTAACTCCAACTAAGTTAGACAACTTTTGTGCACAGATAAAAGATTGAAAATGCACACACAATGTTAACCTGTTGTACAATAAAATTTGATTTATTAAAACGGGGCCTAGCCATAAAAGGACTACATGTTTGGCAGCACACTACACTGCTATCATCACGAGTAAGAGTTACAAGTAAGGCACTGACTTATATACATAAATTACCATAACTATATCATTAAATGCTCCAGCACCTTTATATCTTTAGTCAGATATATTTATGCTAATTTTTCAAAATTTTCGTGCAGATATTCTGAATGTCACTTTCAGAAGGTCATATATGTGCTATTCTTTTCACTTAGGGATGGCACAACTACATGTACAAATTGGTATTAGTTATATTTGTTATTTGGAATAGTTTGGGATGTATGTAGATTTAGGTTATTGGATACCACACTTTGTGATTTGGAATTGTGATATCTCAATTCTTTCTGTCCTTATGTGAACGTTTTAGAAAAGTTTCCTCTTCACCCCAAAAGCTGGTATAGTTATTATTTGGATCACATAAGTTAGCAAGTAGGTAAGGACTTAAGCAAACGTAGCTGTGAATAAAAGTTTTATTTATTTGTTCACCTGTGTTTTCTTGCATTTCCTTTGCTGTCCATGTCTGAAGTTATTCTCTGTAGTACTTTTCCAAAAACTGCATTCTAGATGACACTTTTAACTACTTGGTGAATATCAATGTACTTGAATACAACAGATGTATTAATTTTTATCTTTTAATATCATGCACAAAAAGGTTTTGATAATTACAAGTATTTTTTGTATAATATCAGAAACATGTAAGGAATTTTATTTCCAGAGTATAGCCATAGTTTCAGCTGTTACATTTACCAATGCTAAAACTGTGGAGGTAGTTTTTTCTTTCTTTGATAACATTTATAATGCATGCAATTTAAATGGTTGTGTCGGCACTAGTGAATGGCAAATACTAGTAAGTTGTTTCTCAGTGTAAACTTTTAATTTCAAAGTATACTTTGATGTGGCATGTAATGATGGCCCCAGTAGTGCTTATCACTACCTGTCTGAATAAATCATTATAATGGTAAACTTTGATCACGCAGTACAGGTAGCTAAGGCTAAGCTTTATCTAAGCAAGCTACCGTCCACTTGATAGTGTTTGTTCTAACTTGCACAGTGAAATATTTGTTGGTTGTAGTACCTTTGAGAAAAGACTACATTTTTTAGTAGTTATAGGCAGATATGCCTCTAGCCAGGCTTCAGCGCTGGAACACTAAGGTGTGTATAAGAAGAGAAATATTAGACAATATTGTTTAAACAAAAATCACTGTGGTCTGTCTAAGAAGGGCTGTTATTTCCATAAAGTAATTAGATTTCCATTTAGATAGCAAATTATACCTATAGGCATACATTATGAATATTGACTTCTGCCAGGATTGGAAAGTAAGAAAAGTCAGGATTTTATTTAGTTTCAGTAGTGCATATTGGTGTATAAAAGACATTTTAATTCTAGTATTAAATGGCCGTATTAAATGGATTTTTCTTTAATTGCACAGTAAACATTTTGCTTTACAGCTGGATGCTCCTGAAGAAGCTGTAAAGCAACAAAACACTGAGTGTTCAGTGAAAGAAAAATAACAAATTTGGTGTTATAAGGTAGATTATTACTAGTATTAAAAGCCAGGATTTTGTTTTTAAATATATATTAAATTTTTACATCATGTATTATGGATAGTTTCTGATAGACAAGTCAGCATAAGAGAACTAATTTAACTATATTTTTCCAGAAATTTTGTGGGAAGTGTTCATATTCAACAAATATTGTAGTAATTTAGTACTGAGAAACTGGTTATCTTGTGAAATAAATTGCAGAATGATTACTAAGAAAAACATATAAAAAGCTGCTTTCAACTTGTGTTTGTTCAAGGTGTTTTTATATGCACATTGTTTATCAATGCACCTTGCTTTCTACTGTTAAGATCTTTTACCTTAGAAACTGCCATTTGAATTATTCTGATTAACTTGAGCTACTTTTATAAAAATGGGAAGTAAATGTGGTATTCACGTGAACTGAATGAAGTTAATAACTCTGCCAGGTGCATTGCAACAACAGCAAATGTATAATGCATATATGGTTCTACTTAAAGTTTTTAAAAATAACTTTAACCATATTTGTGCAGGCTGGAAACAATAATTTTCTTGTCTACTAATGAAGAAGAGGGTGTGTGATAGAAAACATAATTTTTGTTTTGGCTCTTTGGCCATTTTATTAGTCCAAAATTTTTTTATTACACGTGCACTTTTTCAAAACTTTCTTATTTCAAACTTTCAAGTTTGGTTTGTCAGTATTCAGAATTGTGAAGTTCATTTACCAAAATTCATCACAGGTAACTTAGCCAGTTTCTCACAACAACCTGTGACTTCAAGATGCCAGACAGACAGACAACTGCTTTACAGAACTGAGGAAAGCAGACAATTGTTGGTTTCACAAATATTTTAATAAATGAAGTATTTATGAAACCTGTAACTGTTTTTCTCAATTGTGTAATTATGGAGTTTTACCAAGTATTGACAATTTCAAATAATAATTCTGTATTTATATATATATTTTTTCTACAAAAAAACTTAACATTCTGTTACTAGTCTTAAAGAACTTTCCAGTTATTCATAATTCACAGTCATGAAAAGAACACTGGACATCAGATTTCATAATTTACAGTCAGAGAAAGGACACTGGACATCAAACCTCATAGTTCACAGTCATAGAAAGGACACTGGACATCAGATCTCACAATTCAAAATCAAAGAAAAGACAATGAACATCAGATCTCATAATTCTGACTAACTTCAAAACAAAATTGGAGTTTCTTGCAAATATTACTTCTAGTCATGTTGTTATTATTGTTGTATTATTATAGAAAGAAGGCTAAAGGTCTCTTACTTGGTATTTTTCTAGAGTAGACATAACTTCAGAAAGTTATGTATTATAAGAAGTTCAGTATATTGTTTTTGCCTAAAATGCCCTTCTTAAGTAAACTGTTTGCAAAGTAACATAGAATTCATTACAAATCTTTTTATTTTTTATAATTTCAGAAAGTGGATCCAGAATTAATATTCACAAAACAAGAAAAGATAGGCAAAGGTTCTTTTGGTGAAGTCTTTAAAGGAATAGATAACAGAAGCCAGCAAGTTGTAGCTATAAAGATTATAGACTTGGAAGAGGCTGAAGATGAAATTGAAGACATTCAACAGGAAATTATGGTGTTATCACAGTGTGACAGCTCCTTTGTTACAAAATATTATGGATCATTTCTTAAGGTAAAAATGGATTACTGTGTTGATATGTTTGTTAGGAAGTTTACATGTGAGTGCAATACATGTTCTGAATTTTAGTGACTGTTTACGTGTGAGTGATACGTAAACAGTCACTAAAATTCAGAACATGTAGTGCACTCGCACGTAAACAGTCACTAGAATTCAGAACATGTAGGTGAGTGCACTACATGTTCTGAATTTTAGTGACTGTTTACGTGTGAGTGCACTACATGTTCTCTGTATCATAATTAGTTAGGTTAAAACTTAATCTATCTCTTGATGAAATATTTTGTGCCAAATATTGTTAGTTCTTTTTCTAAGTTTGTAGCATAATACATGCAAGACTTGCATTATATAAGCTGGATACAAATATGTTTACAGTTACAGCCAACTAAAACTCTGGGTCAGATTGTAAAGGAGGGGAGGTCATTTGTTTATATTGTCTCTGCTACACTTCTGCAATAAGACAAATTTTAAGAATACGAATTGAAAGATATGTGATCTTTAATTGCATAACATGGACATAAGTAAAGATATTTATGGTCAGTCGTGAGCTTTGCTGATGAAGAAATTTATCTTTTCCGTACTCTTTTTTTTTTATCAGGTATTTGGCATTTTCATATCTGAAAGAAAAATATATATTATTCAGTTACATCAAACCAGGATTTATTTATCTGTAGATAAGCTACTGATGTAGAAATAGTTCCCTACATATTAAGTGCAACCCTGAAGGTTTTCTTAATTCATCATCTTACTTTTGAATGACCAAAAGGCTTTACAAGTAACCTATACACATGGTGTGTATATTTAATGCAAATTTATGCTCCTTAGAGAATTCATATCTGACATATTTGCTATTCTATGAGCTTTATATATCTGGCCCTGTGTAGTAGGCTTAGTATGTCAGCTGTACACCTGCTTTTCTACACGTACCTAGTAGGAATGTTATCTTGGTTCCTGTGGAGATATCGTACCTGACTTGCACACTTGTCCTTCTGTATGTTAACTATATATCATATCTTATGATGCATATTTTTGTTTGTTTGTTTCTTGCTAAACAGAAAGCTACACAATGAGGCATCTGTGCTCTGTCCACCTTACGTATAGAAATCTGATTTTTTAGCAATAAAAGCGCTCAGATTTATCGTTGAGCCAATTAGAGGGAGCAGTTTTGTGTCCTTCGTAATCTATTCACCTGTTTTTCTGTAGGTTTAATACATGTCTTATCTGTTTTTTTTCTAAATGTTTGTTACATTACATTTACACCTATCTCTTTGTATTTTGTATGTATCTCTTATCTCATTATTTCTTCTAAACAAGTGTATACATGATCATACATAAGCGTTTATGTAACATTAATACATGTAGATTTTTGGTCCCTTTTTGTCCATTTATGCTGTGTACATACCTATTCTTTTATATGCTTAGTACACATATTAACCCTTTTGATAGATTTTTTATGATGTTTGCACTTCCGTATCTTTAACACAAGTATATTTAACTCCGAAAGCTCCATGTGTTATATGCACACTTCTCCAATAGATTAATTTTATAATTTCTCTTTTTTTCCATGTATGTAAACACTACATATGACCTTCACATCTGTCTTTCTTCAGGTTAAATATGATTAAATACCTTTGTTGTTCTTTTGATGTCTCTGTTTGTCACCTATATACCCATCCTTTACATTATAAAAGCTGTAAGATTGATCTGTATCTATGCAGGCTAAGTTCATAGCTTGTTCCTAGGTGTTTCATTAAGCAGTATTTTTATGTACCTTTGTCTTAGAGGAAATTGTCTCTTTGTAGGCTATTGTGTAGGTATGTTAATTCAAACAAGTTTTTATATTGTTTACACAACCTTCTCCACAATTGTAACAAAATAATATTTATATCCAATTGTAAGTAGTAGATTTTACATCTACATCATCAACAAATAATTTACAAGATCTGGAAGAAGATACAAATATTTGGCTCCTGGAAAATGATGTACTATTTTTATATTTTCTGAAAGAGTGTTACAAGAACTGTAGCAATATATAATTTACATGTATATTCAGTTTTTGGAAAGATCTGTATAACTTTATATTTTCTGCAAGAATATTATAAGAATGGTAATAACATGGCATGCTTAGTTAGTTACTAGGGAAAATCTGTCAAGTTTGTTTTTTATTGCCTTTAGGTAAATGTATTTCAGAAGAATTGTAACAGTACATGTGCAATATTTTTATTCAATTATTAGAAAAAAGCTACAGGATTATTATGTTATAAACCAGAATTTTCATTAACTGGTAAATACTTGTCAAAGACTGTTTCAAAAGGTTGATGACCAGCAGAGACAGAAGCTGACCAGCTGTAAACCTTCTGTGAGGAGCAGCTATCTTAGTGCATATGTATATTAAGTCAGTCTTAGTTTCAAAAAGAAATATTTAAATATTTTTTAGTCTTCAATTTTCTGTGCCATGTGATGCATCTGAGCTCATATTTCACTAATTCAGAATTTTTTAACATCAAAAAATGCTGCTTTTAACCAATTAGAAATACAACTATATTTGATTCCATATAAGAATCTAAAAAAAAAAATTTTTTTTAAGTTTTTCAAGAATCTAAAGTTTGAACCTTCTATCTTCTTTATTTGCTGAGATATCAGTACGCTTGTCAAATCCACCAGAGAAGCTCCTCCTCCCTTTCTTACTTAAAATATTGTTTGTTAATTCTTACAACTCATTGTTCCGTTTATATACCATAAACTGTTACTCAGTGGAGTTAACTGGTATGTGGTGATCATATTTTGGTGCTTCAAACTCTAAACGGATTTTTTAACCTATTTAAAACTTACTTAGAAAGCCAGAGAAATTATAGTAGTTTTTGTATATTCTATTTTAATGAATGACGTATATTTTTGTGTTCTAAAATGCATGTTTGAAAATTACATTAATTTTTTTTTTGGACACCCAAATTTTTGAGACTCAAAGAGTCATATAGAAGAACATCTTAAATTTGTACTTGAGTGCAAAAGAGCTCAAATAAGTAGTAAATATTACAAATCCTTGTTATGTTTATTTATTGTTGTATATTTTTTAACAATAGTAACTAAGATATGAAAATTAGAAATTCTCAGCTTAGCCTAATAAAAGTTTCAGTAAAATAAAATCTCTAAAATTTCATGAGCTCCAGCACTCTGTAAAACACTATACTTAGTAGTCATGTGGTGTTTACTTAGCTATATAGGAAGCAATTGTTGGACTCCCACTGTGACTTGTTGCTTTTGACATGAGGATTACAGCAATACAACCATTAAATTAATGGAAAACATATGAAAAGCATGTGATGGAAAGCAATATATTTATTCTTAGCCTGGAAATCACCTTTCACTCAAACTGACTCAGTAAAGACTTCAGAAGCTCACAACAAATCCCTTTAGAAAGTACTTTATTTTAAAATATGATTTTTATTTACACCAGACTTATAATGTTTACCAGAAGCTTACTAAAATGTTGAGAATATGCAGAAAGTCGATTCATAATTTTAATAAACATTAGTATTTAGTGTTTTAATTAGATAAATCCTCTGAACAGATGGTTAATCAAAATAGTGCTACAATGTTAAAGGGTTTTTTCCATGTGTGATTTATTTTTTCTCCATAAGTATATGTATATTTATGTGTTTATTGAAAGTTAAGGTGCCAGACAATGATCATTTTGTTTTGTATGGTGACTGGTAAAATAATTAGTAATTAGTCACTGTAAGCAGCAGTGTTTTTTTCCTAGCAGAAAGGCTGTAAACAAGTACTTTAGAATAATTTTTATGATCTAACCATATTGTAGTTACATATAATTAGAAAAACATACAGAATTTTCATGTTATCAATAACTACTTTAAAGAAATTGTAACAAAATACAAGCTCCCTTGGTGGCTTGGAGGTAAATCTGAAGGCTTATAATACTAAAAATTGTGTTTCGATACTTGTGTAGCTATGTGCTTAACAACAAATGACCAAAATACAAAACATTTAATTTGTATTCAGATAGTTATGAAAAGTATTTGTGTTGTTTTTTTTTGGGGGGGGTAGATTTAAATGAAAGTATAAGAATTATATGTCAGTATTTTTAATGTTCCATTAAAACTTTAAAATACCTCCAACTTTTATCTGAATTTCAGAGAACAAGTTAAAAGTGGATTAATTAATATACTTTCTAACTTTTTTTAAATAATTTTTTCTTTAGATTTTTGTAATGATAGAAGAGTACTCCCGACTATGAATTAATTTTATTTCATAATGGCTGCAGTTAACTTAATGTTGAATTAAAGTTTTAAAATTTGTACTTTTCAGTTGTTAGGAAACAACTATGAGAATAGATAGGTATTCATATTTCTATCTCTGTAAAGAGTTTTTAATCTAGGTTTGACATTATTAAAAAAAAGTACAGTGAAATCTGGGGTTTGATTCTCCATGGTGGACACAGCAGTTAGCTCAGTGTGGCTTTGCTATAAAATTAAAAAAAAAAACTTTTAAATACAAGTACAGTGGTGTGAGAATAATTGTTGTCATTTTTTAATTTAAACTCAATTTAGTAGTTAAAGCAATGAGTACAATGACTTAATACAGAATGTATGTATTTTAGTTTTGTTATAAAGGTTGGATACAGTCTAAGATGAGATAAGCTAATACAGCAAATTTGGAAACAATGTAAGCTTGTTCATCTCACTTGTTTAGTTTATGTTGTTTATATAGCATGCTGTTATCCTAATAAACAACATGAATGTGTTTATCACTAGACCTTGCTTGTTTATTTTGTTTAAGCTGTTGTATAGAAATGCTGTTATTTTTGTAAGCATGTTTATCACTAGACTCACTTGTTTATTTCATGTTGTTTAAGCTGTGTTATAGATATGCTATTATCCTGAAACACATGCAAGCCAGTAAATTAAAAGGTTATAAGATCAATATAAAGAAGTACTTTTCACTGCTACTGTGACATGTCAAAATTATCTCTGACTTTAGGGCACCAAACTTTGGATTATCATGGAGTATTTGGGAGGAGGATCAGCCCTTGATCTCATGAAAGCTGGACAGTTTGAAGAACTCCATATTGCAGTCATCTTAAGAGAAGTGTTAAAAGGTCTGGACTATTTGCACTCAGAACGCAAGTTACATCGAGATATAAAAGGTATTACGAGAAGATTCTTATATTAAAAATCTCAGTTTTCAGTCTATACAATACTGTACATAAGGTATGTGTATGATGTGAATTGATTGTACCTAATTTAAGACATTTTACTAAGCATTTATTTTAAAGCTGTAAGAAAATCAGTATATATTGAATAGTTACTTCAAAATTGATTATCACCATTTTAAATAATGCTATAATAAAAGAGAATGTGCTGTAGATTTACCCTTATACTCTTGTTTGCAACTCGAGCATTCTTACTGGTACACAACCATGGAGGTAGGTAAATAATTGATTTGATCTTTGCATGGAAAGATGTTTCTGTTTACACTGGGATTTAAAACCATGGATACTAGAGTCAGTTGTTTTGGTGGTACGTCATAAGTCACTGTTGGATGGTAAGCTAGTCTATCCATCTGTGTATTTGTTCTTTGCATGGAAAGATGTTTTTGTTTACACTGGGATTTAAAACCATGGATACTAGAGTCAGTTGTTTTGGTGGTACGTCATAAGTCACTGTTGGATGGTAAGCTAGTCTATCCATCTGTGTATTTGTTCTTTGTTGACCAGGTTGGGAGGATAAGAATTCTTGTACAAATCTTTGATTTCAAACAGTTCTTGATTCAACACTTCTATGTTATTAATAATATTGTAAACTCAATACAAAGGTATTTTTGTCAGGTTTTCTGTAAATATAAATGTTACATAGCTAAATTAGTAAACAGTTCTATGAAGTTTGGCTTATGATGCTATCTAACTTACAAAACACCATTATCGGTAGTAATGTGGGTATCTAAGACGATGTTGTTTGTATTCAACTGTAAGGTTAATATTATAGTATTGTTTGTTGAGGTAAGTGTGAAATTGTTCTACATGATTCTGATTCTTTTAGTATAAAGGTATAAATCCTTTTAGGAAGTTCTGGTGTTGAGTTTGATCCCATAGCAATCCCATCTAGCTGTTTGTAATACTTTCCATTGAAGGTAAAATGGGATTGTTTGGTAGCAATGTTTGATAAAATTCAGATAGTGAAATTGTGAGTAAAATTTCAGGTTTTTGATATCTAAAAAAAAATCGTTCTTTAAAAAATTTTTGAAAAACAGTTTATGTATACCATTGATAGCCCCACCATATAGACTTAAGTTTGTACATATTTTCATGATGACATCTAAGTTACTTCAGGATACCTCTATCAAATAGTATCCCTTTGAAGTCATTAGTAAACTACATACTATTTATTACCATATATGCATCTATATAAATATAATAGTTCTGTCTGTTGTATGTCCATGTAACTCATTTGCAGGGTGTGAATGGATCTTCACCAAAATTGGTATGGAGATTCATTAGGTCCATGTGGGGGGTACATACAAATTTTCAGTTTTGTGGTTTTTATGGGCATTTTTTGCCACTACCTCACCCCCTGTTGATGGATCTTCACCAAATTTAGTAAGGAGGTTTATTGGATCTATGGGGAGACACATGCAAATTTTCAGTTTCGCACGTTGTGTTTGCAGTTTTATGGGTGTTT